CGGGAAAGACCGTCACCGGGACAGACCGACAGTGGGACAGACCGACAGCGGGACAGACCGACAGCGGGAAAGACCGTCACCGGGACAGACCGACAGTGGGACAGACCGACAGCGGGACAGACCGACAGCGGGAAAGACCGTCACCGGGACAGACCGACAGAGGGACAAACCGTCACCGGGACAGACCATCACCAGGGCATAACCATCAAGTCCTCTTACCTGAAACTCAAATGTCTCATCAAACATCGGCTCATCCTGGTTCTGAGCGGCGGTGCGCGTCCTCTGCTCGGCGCAGTCGGCCGGGACGCCGTGCACCTCCAACACTACGTACGGGTCAATGACCTCCCCCTTGGCCCCGGACCCCTGGGGCTTTGGCAGGTTGTGGGCACTGATGACCTACACGACAAAACACAGAGCTGCTCATGTTTAGTTCAACAGGTCTGAAGAAAAACCAGTGAAATGTCAGAGGGTGAAGAACTCCACCATAAAGTGAAATCAAATAGTAATCAAAATAGTTTAACAGCAAATCGGAAGCGTTTGTAAAGAAACATTCATTAACTTAAATAACTGTGAAAAAGCAGAGTAGCTTCTGGACCTTAATGCGCAGAGTTTGGGGTGGGACTCCCGGCACGCAGCCATGGGTGTGGGCACTGAAGTACGAAACTGCGTCCCTCATCACAGCTGGCCGTAGGACGTAGCCGCAACCCCCGTTCTGTGAGAAGCGGCCTCGATGGAGGTCCAGCATGGCGCCTGGAGTCTGCTGGTTTAAGGCCACTAGCTGGACCCCTCCTTTCCAGTATCCTTGTGGGTTGGGGTTACTGGAGTCCAGGCGCACTGAGCTGGGTCGTACCCTGGTTAGGGTGCGTTTGGTGAACTGAACGAGGTCCTCTGGGCTTTCGCTCGTCAGCCGTCCAGCCTCTCCTTCGCCCAGAGAGCACATGGTCCAGTAAGGCATGTCAGGGGGAAGGGGTGATCCGGGGGACGAGGGGCTGCTGGGGGGCGACTGACTCTGCTTGTTACTTCCTCTCTGAGCGTAAAAGCTGCGGCTGCTTGTCCGAACAACAGCCACCAGGTCCGACAGGTCTTTATGGAGGGTTAGCTTCCTGGGCTGAGAAGGAGGAGGCACTACCAAGACCACACCTAGTTCCTCCTCCCCAGGGATGGTCATCCTTCTTCCAGCCAGGGGCCCCCCTCCTCCTATCTCCTCATCCTCCTCCGATACCTCCCCGTCAGAGCCATCCTCCTCTGGAGGGAGCTTTTTCCCAACAATAAGGATCCGCCCCTTCAGCTGCTCCGGGGAGGGGAGGGTGGTCGCCCTCCCTCCCAGGCTCACATGTAGGGCCTCGGGTTTATAGAGCCGGGATCCAAACACTTTCTTGAGGTGGTGTGCCATGGTGCGCTGCTGACCTGGTGAGCACCGGTGACACAAGTAAAGCAGGAGTGGGTACTGAGACGTCAGGAAGGCGTATTTATTCACCACCTCCAGCGCCGAGCGGATAGTAACGGGTGCATGGTGGTGATGGTGATGATGGTGGCGGGAAATATCAGGCCCGTAGTCGACCCCAAGCAGAGGCTCGCCCTCAGGACCGTCTGTGATGCCCAGCTCCAGGCATCGACAGCCTGATTGCAGAGCCTTGGTCAGCCCTCCGAGGTCCGCTCTTCCGTGGACCTGGTCATCAAGCAGGTAGGAGCGGTACGACGTACTGGAAGGAGAGACACAAGTCTTCAATCAAAGGATTGGAATGCAATTTTTTTCCACCCTTCTTCTTCCATTACAGATTAATTATGAAATATATTGAGTTTTTGATATTGAGACAAAAGAGCCAAAAGTGGTAAAGTAGAAGATTTTTTTTACACATTTTTACGGTGGCCCTGAAGTGGAAACTGCAACTACAAATCTAAAAGCGCAACTACATTAAGGAAAACAAAACTACATAA